AAGGGGGGAAAAATAAAAAAGCCAAATTCTGTTGCCCGTGTGAAACTTCTAGAACTGGTTCCAGAGCCTACAGTGAGCAGGCCACTTGCTCTCCCTGCCACATCCCTTGTTTTATTTTAAATCCTTTACCTCACCACCGGGCTGCCTCTTTTTGTTCCAAGTTACCATCAGGAGAATTCCCAGCTCGCTAATTAGGAAATTATGGGGTTTGCTGAATTCCCACCCTGTCTGTCACCCCAGGATGAGTGAATAATTACCCCCAGCCAACGAGAGGTACAAGTGTTCAGACTTTTCTGTGGGGACATGGGGTCCTTGTCTTCTCCGGGACTGCCCCCAGCTGACCAGCCAAGCTGCCGTCCACACCCAGCCCCCAGCTAATGAGAAACGCCTCTCTATTTCCAAAACTCAGCCCGTTTTCATATCTATCAGCTCTGGTCTCTCAAGCTCAGCCTGTGTCCTGGAGACACAGTGAGACGGCACCCTTTGCAATGTGGGGAAGCTGAAACATGTGGAGGATTTCTTTCTTTTTTTTCCTTCTTAGCCAAGCAACTTGATCTGTGGTCTGTCACGGGGTATCCGGCAAGCGTTCTGAGGAAAGGTTCCTAGGCAGAGGGGCGGCTGGCCCGGGGGTCTCTGCAGGCTGAGGCCTAAGCAGAGGACCACGGCAATTAGACCTTCCCAAGAGTCCCCATTTCCAGGTTGAAAGACAGATGTTTTCTCAGAGAAAGCAGCATGAGCTGGGTGCGCGTGCAATGTTTCATCAGCGCCTTATCTGGACCCGGAGAGGACACTCCTTTCCTGCCATATTTTATCCAGAAGTCACAAACAAAACCAAGCTCCTGATATTTGGTCAACAGGAGAAAACACTTGGAAAGGCAGGCAGGAAGTGAGGAGCCTGGCGGGGAGGGGGGACCACAGGGCTCCCAGAAAGGGAAGTGGTCCATGCAGGCCCCCAGGGAGCTGGGGGCCATCCAAACACCTGCTCCCTCCGTGGTCCCCTGTCCCCGAGGCCAGGCCGGGAGCCCCCTCGGAGGACCGTCTGTGCCCGGACCCAAAAGAACACAGCACATCCAAATAGCACAGCCTGGACCTCCACCGCTCTCTGGTAGATTGGCTGGAAGAGGGTGAAGGGCGGCCCCCTCCACCACCTAAAGACAGGGGGACGAGGCAGGACGGGCCCTGGGGACGTCTGGTACCAAGTCGGGGACAGGCTGACTTTGAGCTATTTTGATGCTAATTATTTTACCAAGTGATATTTGATTGTTTCTATAAAAAGGTTTATGACAGTGCAGTTCTCCACAGGCTTTTTTTTTAAAAGACCTCAAAATGCGAGAAAAGAAATGCACCCAGAGTCCATTAAAGAATTAGGTCCTGTTAATGCCGGAGTCTGCCCAAGGACCCTGGGTACCTCCTCAGCCTGTGACAGAGACGAGAGTGGCACTCCCCTTGCCGAGTAACTTTTGCTAAGGGGGCAAAGGGGGAGCATCCTCATGATCTCTGAGTCTGGCTCTTAATGTGTCTTGGAAATGCTGGCATCTTTGAGGATGTTTGGCCTGAATTCCACTTTTCTGACTAAAGCTGAGATGCTGGTGTGGAAACAAGAATCATCATGCAGCTTCCCTAGTAGAGAGCTGCTCTCAATCCCCCCAGAGTAACAATTGAAAAAAAAAAAAAAAAACCTTCGTTATCTCTTTTTTTTAATCCATCAAGAAATCACCACACAACAGTCAAATGTCTCCCCCAACTTTATATGGAGAAAGCAGAAACATCCAGATTGTCTGTGGCTTTCAGATCAGCAGGACTTCCAGATACCTCTCTCCTCCGTGGTACACCCAGGGATGAATTGCGGGCTTTGGAGCCCTGGGTTCATGGGGACAATGTCTGAGTCCCTTCTCTCTCGGTTCTATCCCTTCGTCTGTAAGACTTGCAGAAGGGAGAGAGTGCTCCTGCCGAGATGGTATTTAAACTCTTCAGCTTAAAGAAGATGTGATTCTATGAAAGTCACAGCCAATTCCTGATTTTTTTTTTCTTTTTTGCAATTTAACCAGAAACCACTTCCTTTTTAAAAACTCTTCCGAGTATCTCAGATCACCCTGAAAGGAAACAGAAGCCGTCATGTCTTGAAGCATTTACAAAAATAAAATAAGTATCACGTGCGTCATCGCTGTAACCCCAACATGCTGATACGGAGCCTGGCACAGAGTTGCTGCCCAGTAACTCCGGGGTAAATGCAGGAACAGGGATGACTTAGCCCGAGACCCCTGAGTGTCCGAGACGCCCCCCAAAAAGCGGAGCCTCCACCCGGGGCTCTAGGCTGACAGCTCACCGACTCCAGGCAGTGCCCTGTCTGTGGTTATCAGCAGTGAGCAGTCGCCCCTGCCCTGGTCCTGGGTAGCGTGCGGCAGCTCAGAGCCACAGACAGCAGCTGCAACCAGCCCCGAGCCGGGTACATCTCCTCTGTCAGTGCTGTGGGGAGGCGGAGGTGCCGGGCATTCCCAGGCACATGTGCTTTGCTGAAAAGAGGCAGGAAAGGCTTTACCCGCCCACGGGGGATGCCCCAGGCGGGCAGAAAGCTCAGATGTTTATGGGGAGTGACATTCCTCAGGCTGTAATAGGATGCTCTGAAGGCTTCAAGGGTGTGGCCCCTGGAGGGAAGAGGGAGGCTAACATTTGTTGGAAGGTCTGTGTATTGAGAAATGTCTCTGCTTTATAGGTGAAGAAACCAAGGTTCAAGCGTGGTGAGCTCAAAGGCATGCCACTAGAAGGGGGACAGTCCAGGAGTCAGGTCCTAGGTCTGACTGATTCCCTGGCCCTTGCTCTTTCCAGTCTGTCCCAGGCAGAGAAGAGGGGCTGGATGCCTCAAGAGGGACAGCAGAGTTATCAGCGGGCTGGAGGCTGCGGGGGGGGGGGGGGGGGGGGGGTGGGCGCTGAGGACACAGGCTGCTTCGGAGCTGCAGAAGCAGAAGCGATCCAGGTTTAAGTGCTGACCATGTCGAGATGGGTGAGCCTCAGCCACAGACAAGCTTTCCTCTTGAAGGAGACTCCTTCCCCGACACACAGCTCTGTTCCTCAACAGCAGAGAAGTTCCCTAATAGCTAGATCCTAAACGGCCCAGTAAGTTGCCTGCCTGCCTTCCATCCCCGCTCCCTCCCCATCTTTCTTCCTTCTCCAAGCACATGTTGTCTCCAGCTTGTACCCCGCTGCGTGCCAGCAACACCAGGGAACACACAGGTGACACTCCTGCCCACGTGGAGCTCAGCCGTTGCTGGGGTCACGTGAGGGCTTCTCACCAACATCCCTGCTTCCCCCCGCACCCCGTCCCGGGCACACGGCTCCTTGAAGGTAGGCACAGACGCGTGACTTTGTCCAGTGAATTGTGTGAAAGAAGCATGGCATTTGCGAGTGGGAACATTCAAGGCCAGGTGTGGAATTCCCGGACTGCTCCCTTCCCTCACCGCAGTGATTGAGACACCCTTTTGCTATGGAACACGATCATCCCAAGGAATCCTGGGTGCCACAGGGGACATTACGTGCGTGCGAATCTCAGTTGGTGTAAGTGGTTGAGATTTGGGTGTGATTTGTTATGGCAACTGAGTTAGTCTCTCCTGACTGACTCAGCTCCAGTTTGAGCTGGACTTTCTGTCCTACCCTTCTTGTGGCTGCATTTTGAGCCATGCCTTCTCTTGAAGAGTCTGGCTTTCCCACCAGACTTTGAGCTCCTCGAGGACAGGGCCCATGTCTTATTCGTTGACGCTCCTGTATCCCTTGTACTTGGTTCGGGGTCAGGCAGATGTTTGAGAGAGAGTTCCTAGCCTCTGAGTTGGCAAAGGCAATGCTAACCCCCCCACACTGACCTCAGAGGCTCAGAAAGGGTGGGCTTGTGGGCTCACACGGAGAAGGGGGTCTGTCCTTCAGCTGGCTGGTGGTGGGGTCAGGATCTGAACTGGGTTGAGTCTGATCCCAAGGCCTACCCTATTTTCATTTCAATGCCCACTGACATGCCCTAGACTGGGTTTCCATTTGCTGGGCCTTCTTCAGTGGCCAATGGTCCCTTCACCCCCACCCCACATCCCTGCTGCCTGGAGACCCGCAGTTGCCTCTCAGGGATGTCTCTGACCTTACTAGTAACAACACGGAGGAGAACTAGTATTTGTTGAGCGTTTACTAGATTCCGGGATGTGCTGTGTGCTCACTCATTTCGGTTGTGTCTGACTCTTCATCACCCAGTGGACTGTAGCCCCGCCAGGCTCCTCTGTCCCTGGGACTCTCCAGGCATGAACACTGGAGTGGGTTGCCATGCCCTCCTCCAGGGGACCTCCCCGACCCAGGGATCGAACCCTTGCCGCTTACATCTCCTGCTTTGGCAGGTGAATCCTTTACCACTAGCGCCACCAGGCACCTGGTCCCAAAGTGGACACTACCTGTGTGAGAAATACATATGTTAGTCGTATATGTCATTGTATTCAATTCTCACCACAAAATGAGACTTGGATTGCAGAGAGGCAGCTTGGGCTCAGAGCATTAAATTAACTGGATCCAAGTCACAGAACTCATAAGCAGCCAAGCTGAGACTTGAACCCAAGTCCAACTCCAGACTGAAGCATCCCGACAACTACTTCACGTTGCATCTTACGGGAGGGAGCTTGTGTGTGTGTGTGTGTGAGTGTGTGTGTATGTGTCAGAGAAAGAAAAAAACTTTCGGGGGGCCAGTGATGATACAGAAATATCTTTTCTCTTGCTGTTTATCCAAGTTTGTCACTTGTGTTTTGACAGGAAGTTGTAAGGACTTCCTGCTTTAACTCTCGCAGATGCTGGCCCTGATAACTCTGTATTTACATGCCTCCCGGGCAAGGCGCGGGCCAGAGCTGCTGACTCTTGTGGGATTTCAGGACAGGGACTGATGGATCACCTCCTCCCCTATTATCTCCCCAGCAGCCTCCCTGGCCTCGCAGGGTGTGGATGGGGGAGGGAGGCTTTCCTCTGTCCTCTCTTGTGGCCTCTCAGCCCTCCAGGAGCCCGGGGCGAAGCACTTTCCTGCGGGCGACCTCATTTGATCCGGACAGGCCGACCCTGTCAGGACGGTCATCCACATTTTCCACGAGCTAGGAGCAGAGGGGGGCAGAGAACAGGGCACTGTGGCCAAGAGGGTCCAGGCCAAGGGCACTCAATGTCCGACAGGGCACGGCAGCCCCGTGGTGCAGAGGCACCCAGCCCGGAGGTCAGTGGTGCCAGCTGCAGAGGCTGGGGCTCAGAAACCTCATGGAGCACGCGAGCCACAGGGCTGGGGAGGAACCACCTCCGCAGACGCCCATCACGTCCTCCTCACCATGGAGAAAAGAGGGATGCGGGGCCTGCCTGGGAGGTCAGGAGGACCCTCCTCCTCCAGCATCTTCACGTGGTTGCTCCCTCCCTGTTCACACCTGGTACCACCTTGATCACGCCCACCCCCCGACGCTGCCAGCTGACCCCTCCGCTGACAACATGTGTATCGCACCTTCGTGAGCTTCAGCATCTCTGAAGACTTCATCTTTGTCCTGTTGTGTTTTCAAGCTTGATTTTGAAGTCATCCCTGGTCACAGACCTCTGAGTGTCATCTGAGGCTGGACAGATGTATTTCATTCATTCAGGGAACACCCACGCTGTACTCAAGCTCTGCCCGGTGCCAGATATGCAGAAGGGGGAAAAAGTGAATCATTATGATAGTCATGGTCTCAGCAACCATCACCACCAGCATCACTAAACTTTTCATACCATCCAGGCTTCATCTCCAGTATGAGTTTTATTGAAGGGTACCAGGGAAATGCAGAAGCAGGTGCCTGGGTGAGGCTGGGTGCTTCAGGAAGTTGACCCAGAGGTGCAGGGGCCTAAGTGGAGACTTGGAAGAGGAGATGTGTGTGGGTGAGGGTGTCACAGGCAGAAAGATGAGCAAGAGGAAAGGCCTCGGGGGAGGTGGATCTAGAAAGTTCCAAAGAGCAATTCAGTAAATAGGGACAGCTCTGGGGGTTGACCAGATGTCTGCATCACACAACTAAGCCATATATAACTCAATTCAGCTTGTAGGTGGTCTTCATCATTCAGGCCCCAGGGGTCTCCAGGATGACTTAGGTAAAAAGAGAGCTGGTCAGACTGCTAGGCAGATCTCAGCTTCCCCTGCCCCAGCAAGGCTTTCCTGAGCTTTCCCCAGTGCTCATAGTTGGGCTGACTTTGGAGGCCTCTTTGAATGACACTGAGGATGGCTATCAATAATAAAAGGCACGAGATATGGATACTGGGCAGCCAACTCAAGTGCTGATAACCCAAGAAACACAGATGTTTGTACGGATCTCCAGGTCCACGACCCTGGAGATGCAGTACATCAGACCAAATTAATTATCCAGCAGAGGCTATTTACTGAGTTCCTGCTCTATTCTTGAGCCCACAGGCAACAAAGAACCATGATTACGGTGAGGCCCCAGCCACCAGGACTTGAGGTTGTGTGGGAAACCCACCAGACCAAGTCAAGGACGTAGTGGAGAGTCACCCAGCAGTGACTGCGGAACAGGGAAGGAGTGGTGTAGAGAGGCTCGGTCAAAGCAGGCTCTAGAGGAGGCGGGATTCAGGCACAGCCTTGAAGGATGGGGAAGATGGGGACAGTAAGCTGATAAGGGCATTTCATTTGACGGTGGGTACAGGTCTCTAAGATCAGTGCCCAAGGAAACATCAGAGGAGTCTGTAAGTTCAGGTCAGGTCCAAACTCCCTCATTGCCTGGCCCCATGCATCCTCCTTGAGGAAGGGTCTCTGGCTCCCCTGCCTCTTAACCACCCCCATTTCACACCCAAATTCCAGTCTCCTGTAAATTATCCCCAGTCTGTAGTCACATCATGGTTTTGAGCTTTTGTCTCTGTTCTCCACTCTGCTGGAGTGTTCCTCTTTTTCTCTGCAAGAAAAAGTACCCTCTCGAAGCAGCTAAATGCTGCCTCCTCCATGCAGCCTTCCTGTAGTCTCTGTGCTCTTTCCTCCCTGCCTGCATCCCATGTCACAGCACCTACACGTTCTTGGTTGCCATGACTCCCTCCCTCAGTAGAGTGCCAGCAGCTTCTTGAGCTCAGGAACTTTCTAAGTGTGCGTTTCCTTCCATGGCTGTACGGAGCACTAGGCATGAATCAGGCTTGAGGTGCATGAATTACTTGTTGACTGCGGGTGACTTGAACTAGGACCTGAACACCTGCTGCAGCGAGCCGACTTGCTCACAGAGGCTGGGATGGGTTTAGAGGCGTCCTGTCAGTCTGGGGGCTACTGGCCACATGTCACTTTTAAGCCTGAATCATAAGGAAATAAGAATGAAACGCGGTTCCTCAGTCACACTTGGCCACAGTTGGAGTGCCCAGGAGCCTCCTGGGATGTCGGAGCTCAGGTTGCAGAACTGTACCGTTGCCGCAGAAAGCTCCCTCCGACCACGCACTGCTCTCGCCTTGATGGAGTCGAGACTGGCCTCTGCCCACCCTCCAGTCCTGTTTATCCCATCCTCCTCCCCAGGACATGCGGCAGCCAGTTCTCTGGGCGGTCGTCTGTCACAGCTTGCACAGTGCCCGGAGCCGCAGAGGAACTTGGTGAGGTGGGGTGTGCTTCGGGCGCCTTCGGAGCACTCCAGGGGGTGGGCTTCTGGTCTGCGGAGAGAGCCCAGCGGCTGTGGGGTCAAGACACAGCTACCTGTCTGGGGAAACTCGAGGGCCAGACTACAGGCAAGCCGGACCTCGCTCCGTGGACCTTGGAGGTTCAGAAACACCCAGCAGGCTGGAAACAGCTGTCTCTCAGCGTTTAATTGAACATGTTTCAAATGGGCAGAATCAGGACAGGGCTGTTTGAGAATCTTCTCAGATGTATTTCTTGGGGGAGAAAAGAAAACCCTGCCTTTTCCTTCTCCATATGGTCATTTGGTTTGCCGATTCAGTGAAGGGCATCTATCAACCCCTAAGGTCAGTGGCTTTCAAGTATTTTTTTCTGTTTGAAGTCCCTTAGACGACAAGCTCAACTTATTTTTTAGTAATGTATTTACTTTAAATTGGAGGATAATGGCTTTACAATATCGTGTTGGTTTCTGCCATACGTCAACATGAGTCAGCCATAGGTGTATGCATGTCCCATCCGTCTTGAACCTCCCCCCTCCCCACCCCACCCCTCTGGTGGTCATAGAGCCCCAGTCTGAGCTCCCTGCATCAGACAGCAAATTCCCGCTGCCTGTCTGTTTACACATGGTACTCTCTCAATTGTCCCACCACGTACAAACTACACGCAAAGGGCCGTTGCCCAGGATGAAAGCAAGGAGGGGAGCCTGCAGCCCACCTGTCTGGCCTTCCCTCTGGGGCGGTCAAACGGCACAACTGCAGGGGCGCTCTCCACGTCGTGATCTAGGCAGTGATGCCCACGGGCCCCACCCTCCCAGTGGGGGAGTTACGCACAATGTGAAACTGCCAGTCTATGTGCAGTCCTAACTTTCGAAAGCCATCATAAAATGCACATACTTGGGCAATCCTAATTAAAATATGCATCTCTCTAACCACTCTTTCTCATCTGTAAGAGGCTTTTTTTTTTTTTTTTAAAGGAAAGCTCATCTGATCTTCTCCCCCAAGGCTGGATTAAAGGCTTTGCGGTCAGAGACTCCTTCTTCCTCTCTGGACCCCTGACTCAGGTTTTTGCACATAGTAGGCGTTTACTGTGTTGTTTGAGGAAGGAGAGAGCAGAGAAGGAGCCCAGGAAGGGGGGGATGGAAATAGAGCGGGAGGAAGTGAAAAAGGAGAAGATGAAAATAAGGAAGGAAGGAAGAAGGCAGGGAGGGAGCTTATGAGGTATCATGGTTAAATTTCAATTTACAGATCAAGAAACTGAGATGCAGCAGTTTTTAGCCACTTTTTAGAAGTCAACAAGAGATGTCATCTCAACACTCCTGTTTCTGAAGCCCCCTGCTTTTCACCACTCCTCCTCCCACCCTCCAGTTGAGCTGTTGTTGTTGCTGGTGGGTTTTTTTTTAAGAAAGAAAGCCTATTATACGTGTACTTAATTACCTCTTCTTTTACGGCTCCAGCTTCTTAATGTATAAAACTGTAGAAAAAGCCTATCTCCCTCTGAGAAGGAATTTCTCTCCTAGGATCTTTGCTGAAATAACCCACCCCTCCCCTTGTCTGTCAGCAGCAAATAGGAAGCGACCATAAGGGGTGAAAATTAAAAGCGCATAAGACTAACTGAGGCATTCATGAAACCAAGCCCCCAAGCCCCAGGCCTCTTCATGGGGTGGCTGAACTGGATCCGTGTTTAAATTCACTCGGTGTCAGGATGGAGGCGGCTGCTCTGGGCCGGTTCCGTTTTTATAATGAAGCTGTATGTCTGGAATTGGAGGGCGGGGGAAGAACCTTTGACACGGGGGAGAAATGAAGGCTACCACGTGCTTGTGCGATTACTGGTGGGACTTCGGAATGCAGGCTGAGCTGTTGTCAGTGGGTCGCATATGGCCATGATGTTAGGAATAATTAAACCCCAGCCAAATCCCCCATCGCAGGGACAATACGGCTCCGTGACTTCACCCCCCTTGGACATGCACGCGCACACACGCACACATGCACAGAGGGACAGAGAGAAACTTTCAGAAGGCTTGTAACAGAACAAAGCACAGTTTTTACTATCGCAAAATCTTTATGGATCACCATCCTTGAGGTGAAGTTATGTCCTTTATGGTCACATTTTGGTCGTTTCCTTAAATTATTGAAGGCATTTCGTGGGGCCCGTGCTCTCGGAACAGAGCTGGGAAAGAGGCCCCCGGCCCCCGTCTAGAGGTGGGTTAATGATGGCATGCCTTGTGCAGCGCGTCCAGGACACAGAGGTTAATAAAACCCGTAGCTCTTCTTCATGGGCACCAGGGGATGGTTAATGTTCGAGCCCGTGCAGGACCTCAGCTTAATGTTCCGTGTGAAGGATCACGCTGCCAGATGACACCCTCCCTGGTGCCCGCCTCACATATTAGCACATGCTGGAAGCGGGCAAGCATGTGCGGAAACCTTAGGTGCTGCGCTCTGACCTGGGGGCGGCGGCCTGGCTGCCTGCCCCCCCAGCCGAGAGCACTGGACATGGAGTCGGGAGAGCCTGCACCTGGGCCCCCACCAGCCTCGGGATGTCCAGGTGTCCTCTGGCCACCCCCATCCAACAGAGGGCGTGAACTGCCTTCTGCCCTCCTGGGGTCTGTGCACAGAAGCCGGTCTGGGAGAATGTCTGGTCATAGATCAGTTCTGGGGTGACCATCACAAGCTTTTGGGGGGGTCATGGGAAACTTGAGTCAGATCTGTGTCAACCTTACCCCCAGCATGCCCTGGGCATGTTGCCTGACTTCTCTGTCTCCTTCTGCCAGAAACAAACCCTGAGATGATTATTTGAAGGCATATAGTTTACTTGGGAGGTAATCCCAGGATGCAGCAGGGACACAAGTAACCACCCCGGGCAGCTGGAGGTAATCCCACCTAGAGCCTGGGGGGTTGGGGTGGGCAGCGTTGCATACATGCCTCAGGGTCTCCCCACCTGAGTGGTGCGGGAGCTGGGGCATTGATCCACCAGCTTCTCATGGCCCATGACCTGCCGTACCTCTGCACAGAGTGGGCTCCCGTAACCAGGGGAAGCCTCGGGAACACAGATGCCTCTGGAGGTTGCAAGTGTGAGTGGCGTGCACTGAAATGGTCAGGCCTGCAGGGGGATGAGAGAGGAAGACCCACCTCCCTCCTCTCTAAAATGAGGCCAGCACTGCCTGCCTACTAGCATTGTCCTGAAGGGTAAATGAGATGATACAAGAGCCCTGTGCTGCTAGTTACAATTTACTTCGAACCTGAAGGGCGGTATGTTTGTTGCCACTGACACCATAAACAGACTTGGGTGAACTGCCCACAGCGGAAGGCTTCCTTTGGGACTTAGCTGTTTTGGTGTTTTGCAAAAAACAACTTGACTGTATGTTTGGCATCGAAGGGAGAGGATGGAGTAAACTGAGTCAGAGGAAGGTCCCTGAGGTCAGAAAGCAGGGGAAGGAATGACGTCCACGCCCCGGGTTTACAGGGAGAGGAGAAGGGACCGTGGGGGGTCAGCCAACTCATCCTCGCCTGCAGGTCTGTGTGCGGTCTGTTTGTTATCACCAAACCCGAGATGCCAGCGGCCTGCGCTCGTCTCCTAGATCACTCATGACACCGCTTCTGCAGCTCGCTGGGTCAGCGGGGTTCTTCCTCAGGGGGTGAAGCAATGTCCCTGTGTGTGTGCCCAGAGCCTCTCGCTTAGAGTCACTGCGAGGTGGGGAGGGAACCCAGCAGGATGTTGTCTCAGAACGGGCCCTCCCATGGGCCCCAGGATCCACGCCTTGGGGGAGCACTCAGTGCTCAGATGATGTGGACTCACTGCTTGGACATGAATGGGGGTGCCTCCACACCACTGTGCTTGGGACCTCTGGGCCCACAGTGTCACCCCTTCTCAGAAGGGGCGCCAGAGCAGGCATCCGGGACTCCACATCGAACCTTCCACGGCTGAGTGATGTCCCATGGCCCCTGGGCGGTGTGGTTTTATAGTCACGAGGGAACCCAGGGTGTCTGCAGTGTGTAGATGCTACTTCCGACGTCCTCGTTGCCTGAGGGAAGGAGGGGATGAATGAAAGTTGCATGTGGGGTGCCCAGGGAGGTGAGAGAAAGCAGGGCGATGCTGTTCACAGGAAAAACAGGTTTGGGGATTTGCAGCTCACTCAGTGGTGCTAACAGCCAGGAGGCCACACTGATACTTCCTTGTAAATCTGAGATTTCCCTTTTCAGTTTCGCAAATTTGTTCCTTCCTTGCTGTCTTCCATAGGGGAGATGTCCCCAGTCTGACTCACAGTTAAGCATCAATAGTGTCAGGCTGGAAAAGGGGAAAAAAAAGAGAGATTGCAGCACTTCTAGTTGCAATGTGCGTCATTAATTGATTCTGTGGCACCCTGAGCTCTAAGGGGGGTGATGGTCTGGAGACACTGGGCACACATGGGTCCCTTCTCTGTGCTTCTTTTTTAAAACAATCCAAACACTACAGAGCATTTTAAAGGCCCTCACAGTCAGACATCTTCACGATTGTTATTGCTCAGTTGTGTCCGACTCTTTGCGACCCCGTGGGCTGCAGCACGCTAGGCCTCCCTGTCCATCATCAACTCCCAAAGCTTGCCCAAAGTCATGTCCATTGAGTCGGTGATGCCATCCAACCACCTCATCCTCTGTCGTCCCCTTCTCCTTCTGCCTTCAGCCTTGCCCAGTATCAGGGTCTTTTCCAGTGAGTCAGTTCTTCACATCAGGTGGCCAAAGTATTGGAAGTTCAGCTTCAGCTTTAGTCCTTCCAATGAATATTCAGGGTTGATTTCCTTTAGGATGGACTGGTTGGATCTCCTTGAAGTCCAAGGGACTCTCAAGAGTCTTCTCCAACACCACAGTTTTGAAAGCATCAATTCTTTGACGCTCAGCCTTCTTTATGGTCCAGCTCTCACATCTATAAGTGACTTCTTCATGATGGGGTTTAACAAATGACGGAAACAGATCCTGGTGGAAAGGGCTCCCAAACAAGCCCAGTGTCTCTAGAATTACGTGAGGACGCGTGGCCCACCCTGCGTGGGTGAGAGCACCTTTGTCGTCACGATGCTTCTCCCTCCACGCTGCCCAAGCCCTGGAGTGTTTCAGGTGAGAAGCACCTTGGAGTGAAGCTCAGTGCTCGTCCTCTCCAGGAATTCAAGCCACAAAGAGAGACATCCCAGGGGATGTCTCTGGTGTCGCTGGGTCTCTGACTCCCCCTGGTACTCATCATTTTGTTCAGAAATATACATCAAGCACTTAATTCTATGCTAGGGCCTATTCTCTGTGCTGTCCCCGCCCCAGAAGTTTCTTGTTGCATAAAGATCAAGTGAAAGATCTCCCTATGATACGACTCCTGTGGCAACAGAGGCTAGTGGGCACCCAGTCCAGCCTGCTGGGTGGGGTAGGCCTCCCCGAGGGGCAGGATTCTAGGCTAAAAGCCTGGGGCGGCCGTCAGAGCCGAGGCTGGGGTCGCGCAGGTCCCACACACGAAGGCTGTTGCTGTCCGGGCGCATGCGCAGAGGTGGGGAGGCAGGAGTCTGGCTGGAGACCAGGATTGTCCTGAGACGTGCGATGCCCTCTGGGGACTCAGAGCTTGCTTCTCAGCCCCCTCGTGCTGACATCCCCGTGAGAGCTGGTGAGCCCCCAACACACACACACGCTTAGTGAGGACACCAAGCCCCTTGCAGCTCCGGGACCTCTTGGTTACCAGCAAGGGGGGCACTGAGTGAGGCCGGCCCCTACCTTCCATGGGGAGCCCGGCTGTACTGGGAAACCCGCTTCTGGAGCTGACATGTTAGAATGTCCTGGCTAGTCTCCCCCACTCTGGACAACAGCGTCTGGAAGCATTCTCTGCAATTACTCACATTTCACCCAGGAGGAAGCCGAGTGCAGGTGAGGTCACCTGCCACATCACAGACTCGGGCCTGTTGGGGCCAGGACCTCGGCCAGGTCTGCCCACAGCCTTTGCATCCGGAAAGGGGAGCAGCAGGTGGGGGAAAGGCAGTTGGTCCCAGGCCTCACAGCGGGCCTGACTCAGACCCACTCCTGGGCTCCAGGCCTATATCCTGAGGATGTGGGTGTTCACGTCTCAGAGCTTGTCCCACATCTAGACAGTCTCGATTGGGGGCCCCCAGGGACACAGGAGGAAGAGGTGCCACCGTCTTCCCTCAGCTCCAGGGAGCCCCCGGCCCTCCTGGCCTAGGAACTGGCTCTGCCAGGCACCCGGGCCTCTGGCCTTTCTGCCACCCCCACCCCACCCCAGGCACCTCAGCCTCTCCCCTCAGGCCCCGCAGGCTGACCTTGGCCTGTCTCTGGCCTTAGCCCAGGCGCCAGGACTGCTCTTGGAGCCCAGCCAAGCCCCACCCAGCACTCAGCCTCTCTCCGAGTCCCGCCGGTCAGCCGAGAGCTCACAGTTCAGTTCAGTTCAGTCACTCAGTCGTGTCCAACTCTTTGCAGCCCCATGGACTGCAGCACACCAGGCCTCCCTGTCCATCATCAACTCCGGGCGTGTACTCGAACTCATGTCCATCAAGTCAGTGATGCCATCCAACCATCTCATCCTCTGTCGTCCCCTTCTCCTCCCGCCTTCAATCTTTCCCACCATCAAGGTCTTTTCCAATGAGTCAGCTCTTCGCATCAGGTAGCCAAAGTATTGGAGTTTCAGCTCCAGCATCAGTCCTTCCAGTGAACACTCAGGACTGATTTCCCTTAGGATGGACTGGTTGGATCTCCTTGTAGTACAAGGGGCTCTCAAGAGTCTTCTCCAACACCACAGTTCAAAAGCATCAATTCTTCGGCACTCAGCTTTCTTTATAGTCCAACTCTCACATCCATACATGACTACTGGAAAAACCATAGCTTTGACTAGATGGACCTTTGTTGGCAAAGCACTATCTCTGCTTTTTAACATGCTGTCTAGGTTGGTCATAACTTTTCTCCCAAGGAGTAAGCATGTTTTAATTTCATGGCTGCAGTCACCATCTGCAGTGATTTTGGAGCCCAAAAAAATAAAGTCAGCCACTGTTTCCACTGTTTCCCCACCTATTTGCCATGAAGTGATGGGACCACAGGCCAGCATCAAGTCAGGGTCCCCTGTGATGCTCCCTGCCAGCATCCTGGCCCACAGGTGTGAAAGCCCCACTTGGAGGTACCTGCCTACCTTTGAAAGAGTGAAGGGTTGGCCTGAATGAAGCTTCTGAGAAAGGGTCTCTCCTCCTCCAGCCTTCCCAGGTCAGGAGCTGCTGGCTCTGGTTCACTCCCTCGCTCTCAAACATACACACCCTCCCACACATACACACATACCCCCACACACACATGTTCATGCACATACACACTCACGCACACACACGGGCTTAAACCCCAGAGCACAGCTTCTTTTCACCAGCTGTTTCTGTCCTCCAGGTCCTCTGTCCAGCTACCCTCATCGCCCCATTTCATCCTCACTTTTCCCCAAAGGTTTTATGAATGGAAGCCCCCCTCCAGAACCCCATTCTCAGTTCAGTCCAGTCACTCTGTTGTGTCCTTCTCTTTGCGACCCCACAGACTGCAGAATGCCAGGCCTCCCTGTCCATCACCAACTCCTGGAGTTTGCTGAGACTCATGTCCATCGAGTCGGTGATACCATCCAACTATTTCATCTTCTGTCATCCCCTTCTCCTCCCGCCTTCAATCTTTCAAATTCTGCAGACACATAAACTGAAGCTCGGAAGAATTAAAAGCAGTTTTGCTCCAAGTCTCAGACAACTTGTAACTAACTGACAGAATCTGCCTTGAATCCAGGTTTTCTGACTCCACAGCCCATGCTTCTAGACGCTACGTAGCCATGCAACCTTGTGACATCTCTCGGCCTCTTTTTCCTCATCTGTAAAATGGGGATAACAGTGACGGGTGAGGGTGAGGCTTCTGTGAACATTGCGTGAACTCACTGACGGGGGCATGGGAGGGTGGAGCTTGCTTAGAATAGCACCTGGCCCGGGGAAACCGCTAATAAATGGTGGACAATGTTGGCGTGCGTGTGATTGTCACTGGCCCCAGAGATAAGCCTGTCCTGCTTGCGGGGCAGGGGACACCCATGTCAGCTTCCCAGCTGGTGGCTCAGCGTCATTTGTCCTAGAAGTTGTCCTGGCTTTCTCATCTTGTATCCACTGATGGCTTTGTTTCCCTTCTTTTCTGGTTGGCTTTTGAATTCACAGTCTGAACGCTGCAAGAGATTTCTAGGCTGATCTTTATTATTTCTGGGAGGGTACATGCCAGGAGGCCAGAGTGGCAACTTGGCATCATCACCCCAAAGCTCATCCCTATGTTTCCCCCAGTTAATTTAGCATCTTCCACTGGACTGGCTTGTTTTGCAACAAGACTGACCCTTCAAAGTAAGGAGCTCTTGCTCCTTCAATTAAAATATATGAAGTGCTTTGTCAGTAGAAACTGAATTTAAACACCAGTCCTCCCACTTAGGAGCTGTGTGACTCTGGGCAACTTACTTAACCCCTCTGAAGTGCATCTCCTTTTTTAACTGGGACTTAAGGATGAGATGTGTAGAATGCCCTTCAAGGGTTTCGGAAAGAGGTCAATGAGAGGCTGGAAGCAGGGCCCAGCATAGTAGGTGCTCAATAGCCAGAGTCCAGTTGGAACTGAGTTCAACAGTGCAGCTAGTTTGGGTAGCAAAAAAAGAAGGGGAAAGCCCTTGGCTCAGAAGGATCCACTGGGGAATAGAGGGCGGTGGACTCAGAGCTGAGGACCCTGCACCACACCGTGTTTTGAGCAAAGCAGGCGCTTGGGAGACTGAAGCGGGTGAGGTCTGCCACTCCTCTGGAGCCGAACTCTCAACTTCCTGGTGAAACTGGCAGGTCTCCTCGAAGGCAGGGCTGGGCCTCCTTATCGGTAGGCTCAGAGTACACGGCACCAGGGCCGGACGCCACGTGCAGGAGGCTGCGCTGTTTATCAGGCCTCTCCCTGAGGCCGGCCGGTCAGACGCCCAGACTTTGGACATGGTTGCATTGAACATGACTGCTCTTCCTTCCCCCGGGGGACACTCCAGCACGTTTCGCAATATTTATTCCCAGTTTTCAAAAAGGGTTGAAAGTTGACTGCTGGATTTCCACAAACACAGTGGCCAGGCCCGAGATGCTTGCTGGGGTGTCAGGACCCCTAGCCTTTCTTGCAGCTGGGGGATCTCTGTCACACCCCATTGCAGGGGCAGTCGTGTTGGATCTACTCGCCTTGCAGTGTGGTCCTGGATAAGATCCATGCCGATGGATACTTTAACACAGGTCCCCTCTTTCATCCCTAGAGGAAGCCAGCAAGGGGGTGTTATTCTACCCATTTTAGAGGTAAGAAAGCAGAGGAGCAAGTGGCACGCTCCCTGGGAAAGAGCCTCCCAAGAACGCAAGCTCTACCCATGTGTGCAGCAGTTTACCTAAAAGCCCAGCCCAGTGCTGGGAGCCCAATGGTTGGCTTGTTCACTAAATTCTCCTCACATCGGGACTCTCCTGACTCCACTAGATAAAAAAAGAATTTGTAGGGAGGGACGTTTAACAATTGCCATCGTTTCCCAGCCAGCAAAAGCTGACCTTAGAATGTGAACCATCTAGGTTGATCTCTGACGCTCTCATCACCCCCAAACCACGGAAGGATGCTCCTTGGCCCAGGTATCCCAACTGTGGCACCTCCAGCATCATGGAACGAGTCATTCTTGTGGTTAGGGCTGGCGGGGTGTTGTAGAATTCTCAGAAGCATCCTTGGTCTCTACACACTAGCTGTCAATAGCTGACGCCATTCCAGTTTATGAGAACCCCAAACGTCTCTAGACATCGTCAACTGCCGCCCCCGGGAGAACGACTGCTCTCAACTAAGGTCAGGTATTTTGATTATTAGCCATGATTACGGTATAATTGAGATTGTGCTTGTGATGAGGGAGTCGTTGTCAGTGTCCAGTCTGCATGTGGGCAGGGGCTGACTCATGTAACCACACATAATCCAGGGTCCGAGCTAGAAGCCTTTAGAGATGACAGTGTGGTGGCTAATAATGGTCTCAGAACACAGGATCATTGGGGTGGTTAATAATGGTTTCAGAATACAGGAACATTGGGGTGGTTAACAATGGTCTCATAATCCAGCACCATTGGGGTGGTTAATAATGGTCTCAGAATACAGGACCATTGCAGGCAAACTGCAGTGAATGTTTACCCTGCTGTGGCAGCCCCATCTACCTGGTTGCCAGGTAAGGTGGCCAGATGTGTGACTCTGTGGTTTCTTGTTTTCTGTTGATGCCCTCATGGAGCAGGCTTTTCCTAGCTCTTAAGGGCTCTGAGAATCTTAGGACAGGCTCCTCCCACCCTCTCCTACCCCCCAGGGGACCCTGGACAAGCACAAGCTAACCAAACCAGCTTTCTCAGATTGGTCAAAAAATGGGAAACGACCCCGAGGAGCTGGCGCCAGTTTTCTTCACTCTCTGGCTAAGCTGAGCCCATGCTATTAGGGTTCTCGGAATGTTCACCTAATTTCTTGAGACCTGGGTTCCACTTGGGAACCACAGGGGAATGTCTTCCCTGTCAACCCTGCAGAGCGTCCTGTAATCTGGAGAAGGTGAGCTGTGATCCCTCCTTCCAGGGCATGTGAAGATGATGATGGTGGTGGTGGTGATGACGACTTAATGATGATGGGGCCTTTGCTGTCTGCTTGGTCTTGTCACGGGCACTTACATGGATTATTTCATTTCATCCTTCCTGTCGCCTGTGATGCTATCTTTGTCACCATTTTATGGAGAATGGGACCTGAGGTTCCAGGAAGATGAGTGACTTGAACAAGATCTTACAGTTGTACAAGGATGGAGGCAGAATCTGAGGGTGAATTGGTGGGTTCCAAAGCCTGCAGAGTACCACTTTTCCATGGGGTGTAAGTGTGATGTCATCA